CATCCTGGCCTGTATCAGAAATAGTGTGGCCAGCAGGAGCAGGGCAGTGATCGTGCCGCTGTACTCGGCCCTGGTGCGGCCGCACCTCGAATACTGTGTTCAGTTTTGGGCCCCTCACTACAAGAAGGATGTTGAGATGTTGGATAAGGGGGACAGATAGCAAAAAAGTTATTGTTTTGCCACATCCAAAAAAGAGCAATGAGGCTGGTGAAGGGTCTAGAGAACAAGTCTTACGAGGAGCAGCTGAGGGAACTGGGGTTGTTTAGTCTGGAGAAAAGGAGGCTGAGGGGAGACCTTCTCGCTCTCTACAACTACCTGAAAGGAGGTTGTAGCGAGGTGGGTGTCGGTCTCTTCTCCCAAGTAACTAGCGAAAGGACGAGAGGAAATGGCCTCAAGTTGCGCCAGGGGAGGTTTAGATTGGATGTAAGGAAAAATTTCTTTACTGAAAGAGCTGCCCAGGGAAGTGGTTGAGTCACCATCCCTGAAGGTATTTAAAAGACGTGTAGATGTGGTGCTTAGGGACATGGTTTAGTGGTGGACTTGGCAGTGCTAGGTTAACGGTTGGACTTGATGATCTTAGAGGTCTTTTCCAACCTAAATGGTTCTATGATTCTATGATTCTATTCTATAATGTACTGCCGGATTATTTTCCAGAGATGTATATTAATACGTTAGTTGTTTATGTTCTGAAACATCTGCTATAAAACACACAGTCCATGCAACAGTGCTCTGAGAACTGTAACTCTATTTCCTTTCCTTGAATATTTACAGCAATACTTTCATCTGCTCACAAGCCCTGTGGGCCTACCGAAGGAAAAGAGGTTCACGGCCCTGTCCACCTGATGTACATCTATCTGCCACGGTTGTACACACAAATTCCCACCCCACGCACACAAAACAAGGGTGTAGCACCACAAACTGAAAAGTTTGGACTTGGTGCAGATACCCTCAAGTAGAGTTGCTTTCAATTTCAGAAACATGGTTCATAAAAGAATAGATCACTTTTAAACAAGCACAGCTGTCATATCTTTAGCTCTGCACATTAAAGGCGCACACCAAGCACTAGACATGGTGAACATGCATGCACGCAGCCCTCGCTCAGTCGGCACACATGCTGTCACTGTTTCAGCTGTGAGCAATGTCAGGAAACTCGACAGGGAAACATGGCTCATCTTCTGCCTTTCTGCACCTGGGAAGAAGTGCACCAGCCTTGGAGGCAACAGGACAATGTCATCTGACAAATACCTGTGTGTGCCAGTGAGGAAACGGCGCCTGTACAAACTGTGATACCTTGGGAGCCTGTGATGGGCAGAGGGAACACAGAGAACTCTAATTGTCCAGTTAAGTGAGGAAGGATGATTTATGAGATCTTCAAATCACATTCTTTGTACCATGCTGTTTCATGTACAGAAGTCCATGGACACCTAATACTCTGTTGTGGCCCCCGTTCCCCTCAACTTCAGACTTATCTATAGGTAAGAGCTCTTCCTAGATAACTCCAGGTGTGAACACTTTTATTCTGGTGTGAACCAGTGAGTTGCTTGTGAAGAGCTCAACTGACACATATGTATTTCCTCAGTACTCACCTATCCTTCCATTGCATCAGCAGGTCACTGAGTTTACCCCTTAAAAATAAAGCTTGTAATTTCTCTCTCTGACACTGAAAATCTCATCTCATATCTCAAGTTAAGTTTCCAGCGTAGCTTTTGAATCACAGATTCATGTGTTCATTTCATAAGGACAGACATGCTGGTGCCTAGTTGTACAAGTCCTTAGCCTTTGTGCCTTCAGGAGTAACTAATTGTCATTAGCTGACCCCTGGGGGGGAGTTTTGGGCGGTCACTTGCGAAGTGCATGGACTGTCTTTGGTTAGCGTGTTCCTTGTGACACATGAGTCACTGTACTTTCCTTTGCAAAAAAACCGGTAAGCTGCACTTCCTTTTACCATCATCTTTGCTGTCAGTGTGTTTATTAGAAATCATTCTCATGCCCCCAAATTCATCTTCCTGGGAAATGGGGAAGTCCCCAGGTCATCAGAATACATGACTTGGCAGCATGTTTTGCTTTCAGACGTGCTGCTGACAGAGAGGTTGAACAGATAATGAATAATATATCCTCTGCATATGTATATGCTTTATGTGGTTAATATGCCTTTCTGAGTTAATTTTGCTTTTGCTTGACATTTTGAATCAGAGGGAGCTGTTTAAAATGTCTTCACATTTTCAGAGCACCTGCACTAGGCTTTCTGATACAATTAAAAACGCAGGTGTTGCACTGTGCTGTGCATAGTAGCTGCTTTTCTTTTGCATTTGAACTAGCTGCTAGCAGATCCGAGTGAGCTGTGAAGTGGTTTGCCTGCTGACGTGCACAAGTCAGCAGCAGAGCCTGAGAGAGCACCATGATATCCAGACACATCCCCAGCCAAGCGGACCCTCCCTCGACATGGGCTGGAGGACTTCTGGTTTCATGACGTCTGCTCTGCTAAAGTGCCCACCAAAAAAGGCACTATGCCTTTCTAAAGAAGAAGTAACAAGTGCTGGCTTATCACATCTCCCCCAAACCTTGCAAACACTGCCCTCTGAATGCTGACAACACCTTGGTCAATAGATGTCCCCACCTTAAAGCAGTAATGAGAGCGAGCAAGGCTGCAAAGGTGCAGGGGACTGACTCTTGGGGGACTTCCCTGAGGCTGCCAAAAAGGTCCTGCTTTCACCTCCCCCATGGGTTAGGGATGTGGAGGGTGAGGGCATGAGAAGG